CAGTGTTCTAAAATTGGATTGTGGTGATAGCTGCACAACTCTGCAAATGTACTAAAAATCAACGGATTATACACTTACAATGAGCAAATTTTATGCTCTATAAACTAAACGTCAGTAAGACTGGTCATTAAAAAAGCCAACAAGGTAAAGGAGAAACTATGGAAGTCCTAGAACTGTACCTGTTCAGTCATAGAAACATACACAGCCTCATTCTTTAGCTTCACAACTAAACGAACACGTTAAAAGCATTCATATAAATTCATAAAGTTATCACACCCCAAAATTGAACCACCTAGGCCTCACTCTGGTAAATTCTGATTTACCAGGTGCTTGAGGTAGGGCTCAGTCATACCTGGTTTTTGGGGTTTTTTAAAAAATATTTTTATTTATTTCTAGGGGAGAGAGAGACAGCGTGAGCAGGGGAGGGTCAGAGAGAGAGGGAGATACAGACTCTGAAATAGGCTCCAGGCTCTGAGCTGGCAGTCAGCACAGAGCCAGACGCAGGGCTCGAACCCAAGAACAGAAAGATCATGACCTAAGAGAAAGTAGGACGCTTAACAAACTAAGCCACCCAGGCGCCCCACTGGGTTTTTTTGTGTGTTTTTTTTTTAACCTCTCCAGGTGATGAAAGGGTAGAGCCAAGTCTGAGGGCCATTGGTATAAAGCAAAAGGGAATAAAACAAGCAAGTTACCTTATTTCTCACTTTGTTTATCTCACTCTGTTTTACTCCCAGCCATCAGGGATCTTACTGTAAACAAAAATTTTCTGCCAAAAAAATGTCGGAATCATGGAAAGGGCAGCACTTTAGGCGCCACGGGACAACAGGAAGTTCAGGTTTGAACACAGGAAGTGAAATAACCAGCCTTGAACAAGCCACGTAAACAGAATATGTATCTTGGCGTGTGCCTTTGGGACATCGCACATCCCATGATGCTCCAGGAGAAGTTCATAGTTTCAAAGACTCTGTCCCGCTGAGCTCATAAACCATCAGGATATTTTAGGGGAGGAGGAACAGCGGGCGGGGGCGTAAGAGAAGGAGTCTTGTCTTTCACTGTAAACCAATTTATAATCTTTTAGACTTTGAACCATGCGCTTGCGTTCACACTAATAGTACAGTAGGTATGATGCCTTGGCTTCCGAATTACATCTCACAAGGCTAGTTTCTACACTGAGAAGGAACAATAGCTACGGGCCCAATCCTGATATACCTGATATACGAGACAGTGAAACTGAGGCCAAGATAGGTTATGTAGGCTTTGAGCCTTTCTTTTTATTCTTACATAACTAGGGAGAGATCTGGAATTCGAGCTCAGACCCTCAGTATTTTGCCATCTTCTATTGACCAAGGACACAGCATAGTTCAGAGGGTAAAGGCAAGAAATTAGGAGTCAGCTCTATGCCTAGGTTCTGTTTCTAATAATAATTAAATAGGAGTCCTTGTTTGTATTACTTAAACTCTGTAAACCTTTTTCACAGATAAAATGGGGATAATAAAAAATACAACGCAAGAGGGTTGTTGCGAAGGTTGAATGAGATAACATGTGCCAGTGCCCAGTCTCGCATCAAGCACGCAGTCATCCTAATCCAGAAGTGTATCCCCGAGGATGCAAATGGGTCCAGTGGTCAGAGATTCGCTTTGAGAAATTCCAGAAGTCTGATCTCTTCACGGCAGCCTGATCTAACAGAGGAATGTACTGGCCTGGGGCCACATTCACACAATCACAGCTCATGTCCTGGTGCAAGCCCAAGTCTAGTTTGATCTCTACCCTGGATTGCTTTGGGTGACACGCAACAGGGTCCACACAAACACCACAGCATCCTGTGCATCGCGATGCCGAGGCCGCCATCTTGCAGGGACAGTAACAGCTGAGCTCGGGGGGACGGGAATGAGGAGCCAAAAGGGCACCGGTCCACCGCACCTGGCTTGGGGACGTGCTTGTGAAATCTCCACGCCTTGGAAGGCAAAATATCCGCTTTGGTACAAAAAGCTAGGAAAACAACTTTCTTAAAAATAAACAGGTCCCAAGAGATCAATGGTCTGGAAAAATTCCTCTGAGATTCTCACAGGCCCAGAATATAAACAGTAAGCAACTTTCTCGATGAACGATCCTAATTCATACGGTCTCCAAACAATAACACAGGCAACCAAAACTCACACACCGAATAGTCACGGTGGTTTTGGAAATTTGGCAAAGGGCACACATTTCGTTACTACGTTCCCTATAAATTATGATTAGGAAAAAGCGGAATTTTAAAACACTCTTTGTTATTAGTTTGGGTGTATATTTCTTTTTCTTTCCTCACTGGCAAGCACTTAATGAGCTATCCATGGTTTTTAAAAGGCATTGCGTTAAGTACCGTAAGGAGACAAAGTAATCCGACACAGGAATGCCTTCCACATCACTTATGAGCTAATAGGGGAGATGAGATTTGCACAGGAAAAAGTAAATATAAGGTGATGATGATAATAATAATAATAGTTAATTATTAAGCCCTTACTAGGGCCCATGCACTTCACATGTACAAACACTTGCCAATGACCCTCTGAAATACTGTCCCCACTCTGCAGATGTGCAAGCGGAGTCTTACAGGACCTGGGTAATTTTTTTCAGGGTTCTAGTTAAGAGCTGAACTGAAATCTGTTACCAACACAGACGGCGGCTGCTATGACGTAAGAATGGCGTGTCCTATATCGAACCATTTCTGACGGTCAGAAGCCTTGATGGCTATTTTTTTCAATGAGATCTAGATCGAGAGTGTCAGACTCCGGGCTGGGAGTGAACACGTAACAAAAGACCCGGGTCCCCCAAGGAAGCAGGACACACCCCAGTCTTTGAGACAAAACTACTTGTCACAGGGACAGTCAGGACCCGAACTGCAGGCCGGGAGAGGAGAGCACATGTTCCGTACGGTTACCTCTTCTGCACACCAGCTCCGGGTCTTGACTAGTTTCACGTTAGGTTAAATAACAGCGTTCTTCTCTTCCCCATGTCAGATCACATCTCTACTCTCCTTCCAAGCTCATCCCTAAACATTCTTGCCACAGTGGCCTTCTTGGGACCTCTGGTCCCTCCCTGCAGCTACACGGACCCAGTTCACATTCTGCATATTCACTTACCGGTCAGCACCTCCCAGGCCTCAATGTCGCAACATCAAAAATACGGAAATCTAGAGATTCCCCTCCCAGTGCAGCTTTTTGACACATCTGCTTCATTATCTGATTTGACACGAAGCCTGACTGGTCTATTGACGGCACTGCCCAACACAAGTGAACATTTAGGGTCACCTGGGCGGCTCAGTCGGTTAAGCACCCAACTCTCTGGTTTCAGTGCAGGTCATGATCTCAAGGTTTGTAGGACTGAATCCTACATCAGCCTCTGTGCTGACAGCATGGAGCCTGCTTGGGATTCTCTCTCTCTCCTTCTTTCTCTGCCCTTCCCTGACTTATGTGTGCAGAGATAAACATGCGTTCTCTCTCTCTCTCAAAAACAAACATTTAAAACAAAAAGAGGTATAATGGGACGCCTGGGTGGCTCAGTCAGTAAAGCATATGACTTTGGCTCAGGTCATGATCTCGCAGTTTGTGGGTTCCAGCCCTGCATCGGGCTCTGTGCTGACAGCTCAGAGCCTGGAGCCTGCTTCGGATTCTCTGTCTCCCTCTATCTCTGCTCCTCCCCTGCCCCCCGTTCTCAAAAGTAAATAAACATTAAAAAAAAATTAATAAAAATAAATAAGTAAAAAGAAAACAAAAAGTGGCTTAAGGAAAACAAGTGAACATTTAATATAAACTATCAGCTGAAACTAATATAGTAATTAAAATTATACTATACTGAATTTATCATTATCATTTCAACAAACAGAGTGCTGTTTTAAAAATCAAATTTTGAAAAAAATCTAAACTAAGAAGTCCAGGTTATGAACCAAAATGCCCAGGCCCTCAATCAAATGTATAGTATATAGTTTTCACTAGTTAATTTTAAAAGAATCTCATGCATTGTTGAAATATTTATGTTAGCGATAAATGTTTAATGTTTCAAAAATGGATTTTTAAAAACATAACCCTGTAATCCATCATCCATATAACTTTCTAGTCTTTTCTCAACTTCACATTTAACAAATTTAACACATTTAACATTTTTTTAATGTTTATTTATTTTTGAGAGAGAGACAGAGAGTGAGCCGAGGAGGAACAGAGAGAGAGGGAGACACAGAATCTGAAGCAGGCTCCAGGCTCTGAGCTGTCAGCACAGAGCCCAACGCAGGGCTCGAACCCATGAACTGTGAGATCATGACCTGAGCCGAAGTCAAACACTCAACCGACTGAGCCCCCCAGGCGCCCCTCCTTTAACATTGCAGAATGTATACAAAAGTGTCTTTTCCCCCCAGTCACATGCTGGGTTGTTTTCATAACCATATTTTATTAATCACGTTTGCGTGGTTTAATATTTAGGAAGATAGAATGTTTTGCTGCTACAAATGTTATCAAACAGGGTAATGCGTGTAACATTCCCAATATCTTAGATGCCTCACTAGGGTTAGATGCTCAGAAGTGAGTATTAGTGTGTCAAATGATTTACACTTCTTTAAATCTCCTGACAGAACCCCAGTTTAGAAAAAAATGCCGTACAAGGGGGCGCCTGGGGGCTCAATCGGTTGAGTGTCCGACTCCTGATTTGGGCTCAGGTCATGATCTCATGATTTGTGAGACTGAGCCCCGCGTCGGGCTCTGCACTGACAGCATGGAGCCGGCTTGGGATTCTTTCTCTCCCTCTGTCTCTGACCCTCCCCTGCTTACACGAGTGCACTCTCTCCCTCTCTTTTTCTCTCAAAATAAATAAATTTTTAAAAACCACACAGGGCATTGCCTTTGCTTCGTTGCCATCTTTCAGGTTCCCACAAACTGAGAACCTTTGTTGAAGGGGGGCCGTCTGTTTTATAGGCTTCTCTGAAGCCAACTCCTGCCCCAAGTCAGCACCCAGGATCCAGTGATTGCACTCACCTTCCCCCCTGACGCTGCCCTTCTGCCTACTGTGCTGTAACTGCAGCACCTCCAGCGCCGTGATGCCAGACCTCTCCAGAATATTCACTTCCACCGTGAGCCTCCCCACCAGCTGCTGGGGCCGCACGCTAATGACGTGCTCGTACTTCCCCAGCCGCCTCTGCAAGAGCTCTTCGTAACTGAGGATGAAGGCAGCCTTGTCCTTGCCGGGAATCACGACAGAGGCTCTGAATGTTTCTGTCCCCTTCTCCCTGTGAGGAAGAGAGAAAGGAAAACCTGGCTCCCTCGGGTCCCTTCAGGGCACTGGCCACTGTGTCAAGAGAGTCTTTGGGGAGAAAAACTATGTGTTGGTTTTGGGAGGAGAAGCCAACGGCCTAAACTAGAGGAAGGTTTCAAAGGTTCAAGGAACACTGAAGAGACAGAATTGAAGACTGCTGAACTTCTCCCTGAGTCACGCCCAGGGGGCAGAGAGGAGAGGGGATTTGGAAATGGGTGGACTGCTGGAAAAGACAGCTTTGGGGTCAAGATGTGAAGTGCATCCTGGGGCGCCTGTGTGGCTTAGTCGGTTAAGCGTCCGACTTTCGCTTAGGTCATGATCTCGCGGTTCATGGGTTCGAGCCCCGCGTTGGGCTCTGTGCTGACTGCCAGCTCAGAGCCTGGAGCCTATTTTGGAGTCCGTGTCTCCCTCTCTCTCTCCGACCCTCCCTTGCTCACGCTGTCTCTCTCTCTCTCTCCTAGAAATAAATAAAAATATTAAAAAAAAAAAAAAAAAAGATGTGAACTGCATCCTTCTCTTTACAGGAATGGCCAAACAAGCCTGACCTCTGATGTGACTTTAAAATGTCTAATATATTAGGTGTTTAATACTTGATAAAGTCTGGTGGATGTCGCCAGGGGTAAGGGTAAGGAATAAAGGATTCCAAAGCACATAAAAATGCAAACCATTCCAAATGTTCTTAGTGCTGGGAGTGAAGGTTCTCTGATTCAAGATGGCAGATTGACCATAAAAGGGATTGGATTAAACCAAAGGAATAAGAGTGAGAGGGGCAACCGTAAGTCAGTACAAGACTTCAAAATGTTTCTGGAAGGTGGGGAACTGAGGAGAACAAGAACTCTCAGCTCAGGTTATGTAGGAAGAGGCTGCAGCAAAGTACTGAGATGCGATCTGTCCACAGAACGCCCGAGAGATGGCAGGCCCGGGCTCAGCACAAGCTGGGAGTGAGACAGGGACCAAACACAGGAATGAGAGCTCCAAGTCCATAGGTAAACGAGTGACTAAGGTGACAGGTTCCTACACATCTCTTTCCCAGAACTAAAAACAGTCATCTGTACTTAGATGGAAAAGCTTCACTGACAGTCGGGAAGAAAGGCTGAAGAAAGACTGACACCTAAGCCCATTACCGTAAAATCTCCAAACATCTAGTAGAGAAAACACAGGAAAGGAATTAGGGTATTAGAGCACATCAGACGCATCACCAGCAATACAGGAGGTTATGAGACGCTGGATGCAACATCTTCAAAGTTGGGACGATGAATTATTCTGAATCGTAAATTCCATATACAGTCAAAATATTAATCAAGGTCTCAGAAAGTTTGCCTCTCACACACCCATCCTGAGGAAGTTACTTCAGAATATACTCCAGCAAAGTAAAAGTGAAAAAGAAAAAGGAAGACATGGAATACCAGGAGTAATAAAACCAACCCAGAAGAAAATGAAAAGAAATCCCAGGGCAAACATTGCCAACAACCAATGACAATATTCCACGGACCTGGGGACACCATTCCTCCATGACTGACAGCTCTGAAATCAGGATGTGCCTCCCAATCCGCAATGCCTTCCAAATGCTGTTGGCAATAACATGGATATAATTGCTTGCCACAGCTGTTCACTTAGGCACCATTTCAAAGGAGCTATGCCTCTTGCTAGATGTTAATAACGACAAAATTAAATTTTATCTCATAAAAAAAGAAAGACAATAAAAACTCCAGGAAAAACAAAAATGCATATGTTGGGATCCAACTGAACTGTGGCATGATTATGAACAATTTATGAATTGTAACAAAAGATAATCCTCGTAAAACTCTTCTGATAAAGACCACTTGGGACCCACTACAGTCCAACAAAACTAGGTTTTAATAAACTGCTGTGGTAAGGGAGATTACGTATCAAAGGCATCGTGGAGAATTTTGCCAAAGGAGGACACAGGGCAAAATTGTAATACTGGGGGAGAAGTGGAGTGTAGATAGTGTTTGGAGTGTTTGGAGGCTTGAAGGGAAAGCAGGGCTGTGTGTAAAGTAGTTAATATCAGCCTGGACTAAGAAGCAAACTCGAGGTTCTCTGTCCTTAGGAACTACAAAGCTAAGATAAATGTCAACCTTCGTGTCCAACAACCCCTTATCTGAAGCTAAGGACCTCAGCTGCTTTTTCTATCAAAGTAAACCCGTGACTCACATCTTCCAGGCAAGAGTGAGATGTTCCACTCGCACTAATAGGATTTCCAACAGCCAAGTTTCTGCCAGTCTATGATTTTAGAGATCAAGCTTTCTCAAAACTACATCCTTTTATTAATGAACAAAACCAGGTTCATGTGTTCACGCCAACTTATCTAGATGCCAAGATCATTTTTCTTCAAAGGGAACAGATCACTTTTCTTCAAATGCGATGGCAGAGAGGGAACCAGAATCTGAGTACACCCAGTGGCTCTGCAGTTAATGCCATTTATGTGGTCATTAAAAATCACATGCTAGTTATTGGCTTTCAATGTTTAGATTCAAGTTATAGAAAAAACAAAAAAAAATACATTTCATTAAAGATCGGAATTTAAATGTTGGTAACTCTGACAGTGCACGTAGAAAAAGATGGACACTGGAAATGGGAGAGAAAAGGTACGGTTTCAGTGAAGGGCAGGGACTATTATCACTGAAGATAGTACAGCTAGTCTAGGATGGTGTAACACTGCTTATGCTGATTGAAGAAAAAGAGGTAAGAATATAAATATGTGGCACACAGAGGGGGGGTAGGTGTGTTGTACATATGTGTACATATGCCATACTCCTTCACAGGAGAGAATTGACAGATGATGTCTGATTTTTAACATCACTCTTCATGGGGGAAATACCAATCAAAACCACAATGAGATACCACTTCACACCTGTCAGAACGGCTAAAATTAACGAATCGGGAAACAACAAATGTTGGCGAGGATGCGATGAAATCTTGCCATTTGCAACAATGTGGATGGAACTGGAGGGTATTATGTTAAGTGAAAGAAGTCAGTCAGAGAAAGACAAATACCATACGACTTCGCTCATTTGTGGAATCTGAGAAATAAAACAGATGAGCATATGGGAAGGGGAGGAAAAATAAGATAAAAACAGAGACGGAGACAAACCGTAAAAGACTCTTAAATATAGAGAACTGAGGATTGCTGGAGGGGTGGGGGGTGGGGGGCTGGGCTAGATGGGTGATGGGCATTAAGGAGGACACTTGATGGGATGAGCACTGGGTGTCATATGTAAGAGATGCATCACTGGGTTCTACTCCGGAAGCCAAGACTACACTGAATGTTCACTAACTTGAATTTAAAACAAGAGACACTTTTAAAAACCAAGACTCCCATAAGATTTAGAGTTAGGGAGGCCACTACAAAGAAACTACAGAAGCATCAGAAGTGGTGTTTCCAGGAAATGAGACCTGGAGAGCAGGAATGGTAAAATGTTCCTTTTTACTATAAACCCCTTTTCTGCTATACCGCTACCTATATATATTCAACTATTTACTATATGATAAAAATAAAAAGCAGGTAAGTACTCAGGGAACGGAAGGGGACAAGATGGGTCGGCAAAGGAATAGAAAATGTGGCACTTTGCTGGAATGGATTTTTAATTCCTTACCTAAATGGCACTTACCCGTCGTCTTCAGAGGTTTTGTTCCTTTTCTCTTTGACCTTATCACCACCTTTCTTATCTCTCTCTATAATTTCTCCCTGATACACCTTGCTTCCGATGAGCCTGAAATACAAGAGACAGCCCTGTTGCTGGCTTACAGGTCCCGGACAAATTCAAACGTGGATGTCATAACCATGACGACCCTAGAAAATATTTTGATGTGACTCTCAGATACGCAGCAAGAATGCATTCTGGGCCAGGGCGCTCCCCTTGAATCCTTCATTTCGTTCTGGGGCAGTTTCCAACAGGTCCAAGTTGTCAGGCCTGACCCGTGGTACCTCTGGGGTCTCCCGGAAGGCACCAGACCTGCTCGCACCCATTTTCATGACGACTCGCCGGCCGGAATCTTGCCCAGCCCCCAAATTAAACTCCCCAACCTACCCTACTTAGCATGTCTTTACCTCTTAGCTCAGAAGAAAAGAAGAAATGCAGTTTACCTTCTGTAACATGGGGTTCACACTGGCTCATTACTCAGACCTCAACTTAAACACCACCTCTTGTAGGCCACCTCCCTGATTTCTCACTGTCTAGACAAGTCCCTCTCAGTCCTTCCGGCCATCCCTAAGCAGTCGCTACGGTCTAAAATGATGTCATCTACCGATTTGTTTATATACTTCTATTTCTCCCCGTTGCAATTTCTACAGCAAAACAACACTGCCTTTTTCTTAGACGTACACTGATCACTCTGATCAGTTCCCGGACTGAAGTGGGCACTCGTTTGTTGGAAGGAAGGAGAGAAAGACAGGAAAAGAAAGGGAATGGAAGCAGGGAAGAAGACAGGAACAGAATGAAAGAAGAGATCGTGGGAAGGAGAGAAGGAGGAAGAAAGGACGGAAGGGAGAGAGGGAAGAACGAAGGGAGAGAAAGAGGGAGAGAGAGAGAAGGAGGGAGTCAACCTTCTGAGCCATATACCATCTGCTGAGATAAACTCTCACACCAGCAGACTGTGGACTTCGCATCCTGGCAGGCCCACCCTGGCCACCACACACACACACACACACACGCGTGCATGCACACACACACACACCTCCATCTCAGGGTCTCCAACCAGAGTATCGCTTACATGGTGAAGTTGGTGACGAAAGCCGCAGCTGGAATCTGCATCTGAAACTCAATTTCCTGGTCCTCAGAAGCTCTATTCAGCATTCTACAGGAGACCGTAGTGAAGGCGTAACGGGAAATGATGGTGGACTTCACCCAGAATTCTGTCATTAAGGGTTTGGTTTTCTGTTGGAATGAAAAGGCACAGTATTTTCAGTGATGGGTGAAAGTGCAGGAAATAACCTCCAATCTGGGAGGCCGTGGTGTGTGATTCTTTTCTTCTTTCCTTGTCTCGTCCTGACTTTCCCACTTTGTACTCCCTCCGCTCACCAAGTAACTGTGGTTGAATGACCAGTTTGTGACACAGAAAGACGTCTTTTAGCCTAACTGTGACTAAAAGTTAAGATTTTAGTCACAGTTAAAGATTAAGTCACAGTTAAGATTTCCAATTTAAGAGAGAGTACACATGGCTTAACTAGTTTAATGAAGTACTGGAATTTCAAAAGTAAAGTGAAGTATACAATTCTTGTCATAATGTGATCAGCCTTTAGATCACATTTACAGGATCACAAAGGAATGAAAACATCAGAGCTTGCCTAAAGAAAATCTCCTATTTTCAAATTAAATTCCATATCCACTTAGAGAAATGATATTCCAGGGCTTTCCTGTTTTGACAACAACCACATGACTGCAAAGTAGGAGTCGATACTGAGCTCAAGAAAGTATTGGGGCAAGTAGAACCCAGAAAAAGGAAAGTGTAGGCTAATAAAATTTGTCCCCCAAGTCTCTGACAAGGGCGGTCACCACACGGAGCAGATTTAAAGGCTGCTTGAAGTCCTCAGTGTGTTTCTAGCCCTCACCGCAGTGGTCCATCTGACCCCGGCCAGCAGCAGCAGGCGCTGAAGGGGTAAGGAAACATGAGTGACAAAGTCGCTGTGACAGAGCGGTTCTCCGAGAACTAGCTGAGCAACTCACAGGCATGTCACCGACTCAATGTTTGCGTCCCCCTTCAACCCCCCACCCAACCCCGCAAATTCATGCGGGGAAGCCTTACCCCCCCCAATATGGCAGCACTTGGAGATGTGGCCTTTGGGGGTGATTTGGTTAGGTGAAGTCATGAGGACCTTGATGACGGGGTTAATGGCCCACAAGAGGAGCCACGAGAGAGCCCGCTCTCCTCTCGCTCTCCATGTGAACACTGAGAAAAGACTGTGTGAATGAGAATTTAACAAAAATAAATTTTTCTTATATATATATTATTTTATATATATTATTTTATATATGTATTATATATATAATTATGTATATATGTATAAAATTTATTTAACAAAAATAAATTTCTGTTGTTTCATACCAATCTGTGGTATTTTGTTATGTAGTCCATGCGGACCAAGACAAGGCATTATCTCATGACAGACTTGGACACGCATATGACGCAGGCATTTTTTATTCCCATTTCATACACAAGAGCAAGTGAAGCCTGCAAGTTTACATATTGGCCCGCCAGGCATTCATGGAAATCAGGCTTGAACTCCATCCCACCTGCTCCAGAGTTGATGCTCACCGCCATGGTGCCTCTGTGGATAGGTCTTTCTGTCTCTGTGTGTGCAAACCCCAGCATGGCCTTCAGTATGCAGCAGGCTGTCAGTAATGCTGAACGGAACCAGGCTACTCTGCTAGGATCCTACTTTCCCTTACCAGCGTCATCCTACCCAACATTTATTTCAGCCTTCTGCTCTCCAAATTTCTTTCCAGCGCTAAGCTAGTCTTCAAAATAAATAGAAGATGATGACCGGCTTATATCAAAGCATATTGCCCTTATGATAGACAAAGATAATCTTTAACCGCACTTCAAGAAAGTTTCACAGAGTGTCGTACTATTTAAACACATTTAACTGGGGGCGCCTGGGTGGCTCAGTCGGTTAAGTCTCTGGCTTCAGCTCAGGTCATGATCTCACGGTTCGTGGGTTCGAGCCCTGCGTCGGACTCTGTGCTGAGTGCCAGCTCAGAGCCTGGAGCCTGTTTCAGATTCTGTGTCTCCCTCTCTCTCTAACCCTCCCCTGCTCGCTCTCTCTCTCTCTCTCTCTCTTTCTCTCTCTCTCAGAAATATATAAAACATTTAAAAAAATAAACATATTTAACTGTTTGAGCCAGATCATGGCCTTCACAGCAAACTGTTAAAAGCTGGAGAGATATTTTATACGCTGTGTTAGAGAGGTAAGACTGAGCACTCTCTGAAACAAAGCACATTTGAGAACACCCACAAGATGGGGCGCTGCATGGAACGGACCCACACGTAGGCATGGCCAGAATGGATGAGTGCTGGGAGCGGAGGTCAAGGGATTATTCCTGGTGATGCAAAAGGATAAAAGCAAATGGCAGTAGGTTCAGGAAGGATGTTAAGAGAGTGTGTATCTGTCTTAGAAAAGTGAAAAAAGATTAACATACAGGTTTGGTGAAGTGATGATCAGGTTGAGAAAAAAATCTAAACCTATCTGAAAGATCTTTCCCCTGCAAGAGAAAAAGAAGTTCTCCAATTCGGTGGAAGAAGGAATTACATCAGAGCAGTGGCCCTCTGCTTACAGAAGCATCACCTGGAAACTTACGAGAAATGCAGAATCTCAAACTCCATCCCAAACTTGCAGAATCAGAAACACCGGGGATAGAGCCAGAATTTTAACAAGCCTTCCAAGTGACCCTGATGGTCAAGTCCAAGACTCTGTTTTAGGAAGAAGTGGTCTTCTTCATACATTTCCTCATCTATAAGAGGGCCTGAATAAATCACTACCTTTACACTCACTTCTGAGATCCAAGAATCTAAGGCAAAGCTAAAGTGAGGAATAGGGGCGCGTGGGTGGCTCACTGGGTTAAATGTCTGACTGTGGCTCTGATCATGATGTCAGGGTTCAATAGGTTCGAACCCCGCATTGGGCTTTCAGCTGTCAGCACAGAGCCCACTTCAGATCTCTGTCCCCTCTCTCTCTGCTCCTCCCCCATTGCGTTCTCTCTCTTTCAAAAATAAAACATTTTAAAAAAATCTTTAAAAATAATGGTGATATTTTTTAAAAAATGAAGTAAGGAATAAAACACTGAGTCTTAGGAAAACAATTCCTAAGAAATATTTATTTCTTAATCAAATATTTAAAAATATTTGATCGTACACAGTCTTCATGAAAATTTAGTCTCTTTAGGACACTATTTCTCTCTCTTGAAGTGATTTGGATTAAGAAGAGATTCTAGAGAGAGGTGGATTAACCAAATGCTTCTGTTAAATGGTCTCATGAAAACCATATACCACGTTGTGGTAAAGACACTGTGGACTCGGCCAGGGAAGGTGACAATAATAGTGATCTTAAGAGCAGAGTAACGTGTTGGGGTTTTTTTCTTTTTTTTTTTTTAATGTATTATTTATTTCTAGGAGAGAGAGAGAGAGAGACAGCGTGAGCAGGGGAGGGCCAGAGAGAAAGGGAGTCACAGACTGGAACAGGCTCCAGGCTCTGAGCTGGCAGTCAGCACAGAGCCCGACGCGGGGCTTGAACCCACGAACCGCGAGATCATGACCCAAGCGAAAGTCGGACGCTCAACTGACTAAGCCACCCAGGCGCCCTGGATTTTTTTTCTTTTTAATTAAAATTTGTATCTCCTCATCTTTCCAAAATGGAACCCTAAGATAAATTAAACTCGAAATTGAGAAGCAGTGTTTTGCTTTCATTCAGGTTTCCCTGGAAATAGGTTCTCTTCCTAAATTATCCATGTTTCAACGTATTCTTTGATCTCCAATAGCCTCATATTCTTATATACGTGAATTTGTGAAGGGTCTAAAACACCACTGCACACAGATCTAATTTCTAGAGATGCCCTGGGTAAAGAGGAACCAATGCTTAAAAAAAACACAAAACCTATGAACTCAGAAAATTCTAGTTCTCATTTTCCACTTTATTTGAAATGTAAACTAGAAGCGCCTGGGGTGGCTCAGTCAGTTGAGCATCAGATTCCTGGTTTCAGCTCAGGTCATGATCTCACGGTTCATGGGTTCAAGCCCCACACTGGGCTCTGCACTGATGGCACGGAGCCTGCTTGGGATTCTCTCTCTCCCTGCCCCTCCCTCCCTCTATCTCTCTCCCTCAAATAAATTTTTTAAAAAAAACTTTAAAAAAGTTGACAAAACTTTATGCGTATATGTACATGGTAACATACGCACATGGTAAAATGTCAAATTAGAAGATAAAAGGAAACACAATGGTTCCCCTCTAGCCCTGCATCTACAGTTCTGTTCCCCAGAGGCGACACTTAAAGTGACAGTTTTTTGGTATATCTTTCCGGAAATACATGCTGTGTTGATTTGCTTTAATGTCGCTTAATACGGTGTGTTCATCTTTCCATATCCGTGCATGTTTCAATTTCCGAAGGCTGCATAACCAACCACTCTAGAACTTAGTGGTTTAATAGCAATGTGGCATTTTCTCTTGTGGTTTCTGTGGGTCAGGAATTCTAGAAAGGCTGGACCTGGGGGAAGGGGACACTCAGAAGGTGGCTGGAGCTGAAACAAGGGGCCCTGAAGCTGCTTGGGGCTGACTGGCATCTACCTCGTGTGGTCCCAGGACCTCTGCATGTGATCCTTCCACATGGTCAAGTTCAGACCACCTCACACATTAGTCAGGCTGAGGCCGTGGTAGCTAGAGGCTTCACGCGGGCACGTTTCCCAACATGGAGGTGGAGGCGATTTGCCCTCACCCTGAGAGTCACGTGGCATCGTTTCCACCTTACTCTACTGGGCAAGAGTCACAAAGGTATATTCTATGTAACGAGAGGGTCCGGACCGAGTCTCCATGGGAGGAGTGGAGTATCAAACCGCTGCTGTCTTTGAAAAACGCAATCTGTCACCTTACAAACTGGTCCCCTCATTCTTTTAATAGCTGCACAGTATTTTCTTTTTATAGATGCACTATATTTTATTTTATTCTTAAATTTATTTGAGAGAGAGAGAGAGAGCGCCCGCATGAGCAAGGGAGGGACAGAGAGAGAGAGAATCCCAAGCAGGCTCCACAGTGTCAACACAGAGCCTGACGTGGGGCTCAATCTCACGAACCATGAGATCACAATCTGAGCAGAAATCAAGAGTCGGACACTTCACTGACTGAGCCACCTAGTCGCCCCAAGATGCACAATATTTTAATTAAGCAGTT